CCAGGGGCGGGTGTGGATAGAAGAAGGAAGTCAGGAGGTGCCCAAGCAGCTGGATTTGTGAGACTGAGCTTTGTCTGGCCTCTAGACGTTGACCTTTCAGGCATGATTGGATCTACGGCTGTGAGAAGCCATCCTGTGTAGCTCGCAGGGTCATTGAGGAACGCAAGCCATCACACCACGTCAAGGTGCAGTCCCGTCTCACTATTATGATATGATGTGACGGGAGATATAATGGGTTGTCAAATTCACTCGATGAAGCCCCAAAAATATCCCCACCCACTGGAGAAGCATATCTGTTGAACGAGATAGCATTTTCAGTTTTGGTGCTCAAAACCTCCTGATGAAATACACGATTAATTGAAACATTGCTTCATTTAAAAGAATTCGAATATAGAATGCAAAATGACATGGCTGTACAGATGAGCAGTTAATCAGACTGAGTAATTGTGGATAAAAATTACGAGTTACTGAATTGAAGTTATTTAGAAATTCTCTGATCATTTTTCTTGTAAACTTCCGATTCTAAAAGCCTAATTGTATGCAATTTTCCGGTCAAATCCGAAATCCGAAAAGGGGTTGGGAGTTCAAAGAAAACAAGCACATTAACTTGCATCTTAACTGAGATTTACTCTAGGGAGGAAAAGCAACACCACGCTGGGTTTGATCGTGTCGTTCGCGACTGATCGATCAGTAGGTAGAAAACGAATCGGTGAAACTCACCTTCAACGTGTCTTGCTCTTCTTCATCCTCGGTTTCACCACCCAAATTGATATCGCCTAGAATATTGGAGAACCAATTTTTGCGTGACGCTTGCGCCGCGTACAGCTGCCATTTGAACATGGATAAAGGGGCAAATGTCAGTGAGATCGGCAAAGTGGGCGTGGTTTCGTTGACCGGCTTGTAGTCCTCATTCATATTCCAATAATCGTTCAAGAAGACCACAGGGTAGTACTCGTTTGAGAGAGGATAAAAGTCAACGTCTGTGGGTGCGGATTGTGAGTTTAAGGAGAGCAAAAGATGAAACAAGGGGGAATAGAAAACAATGTGAACTAAGAAACTTCCCCTAAAACCAATAATCTCTATTGCATATTACCTACAGTTGAGTTATACGCCGATCTAAATGCCCCTTTCACATGACTCTGATTTACGTAAAAAGTAAAACGAAAAGCTTCTACTCGTATAAAGAAAAGAAATCAACATGACAGCACGAAACTAAGCAACTCTGAAAGAAAAGGAAGAGACTGCCAAAGCCACTGCGTAGTTTAGCTTCACCTTATGACTGAATAAATAGCTTGCACTTACCAGGATTGTGCGGGGAATATGCAAGTAGTATCTTGTACCATCATGAATTGCCATAGGTTTATGGTCAGTGAAGCCGAGTGCAACCTAGAGCGTGTACAGACCGCGGATAGTACTACCAAAGAAGTGATCAACCGTGACTAGATGAGCACCGGTCCATCGAATAAACGACCGTAGACGGCAAGAGTTGACGCTCAAGGATGCAGCGGTTTTCCGCATCATTAGCGACCTTCTTATGAANAAAGACAGGTATGGTATGATGTGCAACTATGGTCCGCCACTAAATAAACTGATGTCCGTTATTCAACATACAGAACGAGGGTAAGGTCCCTTACTTAGAAGAAGACACGAGGAAGAAATGCTGTGTTCTCATGTTTGGTGCAACATTACCCAAAAGAAAGATGAATCGCCTTATTGGACACCGGCTACCGATACAGCCCTGTAGGTTGCACTTGGTTGTGCATGGGTTATAAGTGCAATCTCAAACAATGACCGAGGTACGCGGGAGACGCTCGGTAAAACATTTTCACGTCCCTTCAGGGTTGATCAGTTTTTTTTAATTCCCAAGGCTAACTCCTTGCATAGTTTCATGAATACTGAGGACAGCTGACGTCCACAAACGAAGAACAAAATCTGATATGAACAGATCGAGAACCAGTCCCGGTTGAAGTGACAAAGGTCATAGAGGGTTCGAAATCAGCAGTCTTCACTTTCCGATTTGTGCTAAACTATTTTTTAACTGTCCACTACAGCGGCATAGCTAGTTCGAACTTAGCGAAATAGTTAAGTATTGTTTAGCTAGTTTTGTGGTTGAACGTAAAACACAGTCAAATCATTGGAATCTTTCAAACAGCACGGTTGAGTAGGAAAAAAGTGCAAACCGCAAGCGACTGAAATGCATGTAGTGGATCAAAAAATAAATTCGTGGTCTAGGAATGTTTTGCCTCGGTAGGGGATGTGATAAAAGCAAACCTTTGGTCTCATTTAAGACTAGCGGTTAGCAACACAGTGTTTCATCGTCCAAAGCGGCATTAACGTGGTAGTCTGACGAGGGCCAGAAATCACACAAAATTCATCATACACTGGTACATTCCCGCTGGGTTTCAGCGACTGTAAGTTGTAGTGCCTATTATTATGCCGAAGCGAGGAATGCAAAACAGTTACATGCGCGCGTGCGCGAAGGGATCCGTAAGGAGACCAAGTCGAACTGAAAACTAAATAATTATCTTGTTCATCATAGCAATCGGCCAAAATTTCTTGGCTTTCCCCTTCTTTTGCCCGCTTGTGCAGAATTGCGCTTAAATCTATCAATTGTTTCACTTCCTATGAAATCAGATCTTTCTTCTGGGAACTTGATACTATCGGGTGATGCGGTAGAATCTCTATGCAGAACTTAGTTTTCCAACCCTCACCAACATAGAGTAAAGAACTTCAGATAATTCTTGACCACCTAGTTTCAGAACAGGACTCAGAAACACCCAGTCTTACAGCAACGCTTTGCACTTTGAAGTTTCAAAACGTATACCGAAAGGAGCAATGGAACTTGTCAGTCAGGGTGTGGAATAAAAAATAAATAAACAGAAAAAGACAGCATCTCCGTAGAAGTTTACAAAGTCTGTCTCTATGTGACACCGGACATCCTGAAACGTTGTTCCCTTTCGTTTGGGATTGTGGACTGACTTTCAACGATCGGAACACACTAGTCCCCCATCTTATCCTTCAAAAAAGTAATGAGAAAATTACTGTGGTACTACCTCTGAAACGGTTCACAATCACCAGTCTTAATGGTATACAACTCAAAACGGCTTTCTTCCATCGAGGAAAAGGGTGAGTTGAAACATCCCTCATCTTGCACAGAATTTCGGATTACTGCTACAAGTACCAACACAGAACAACGGATTGCTTCACCGATTTCTGTGAAGCCTTAAGCTCGATTAACTGGGAGTGCTTGTGGCATATTAAGGTCCCTGACGGGTTGTCCGAAAAGTTCGTAAAACTGTTAATGGTATGCTACTCAGGCACCAGAGCGCGTAGTTGAGCTAACGGCAAGCAGTGAAAGTCACCCTAAACCTTAGAATCCATCAAGACTGCTGCTTTTTATCGGTATTTTTCAATTACGCAAACAATCCACAAACGGTAAATGTACTTGACGATTATCGCAGTGTACATAGAGATCAGATGTGATAGGTGACCGCGATCCTGGAATTCACATGTCGCATTATCATCCGAGAGGATGAATTTGAGACCATAGAACCGGACCTCAATCACATAAGTTATTGGACTAGAGATTGACTCGTTGAAAAATCAAATCGTATCCACGGATTTACATTTCGCGGCCTGTCCTATTCTGATTAATGAAAAGCCAATCGTAAAAACACAAATATCTAAATACGTTCGCTCTGTGATCGAACTAAACAGTCAGGTCGGAGATTATTCATTCCGTAACCGCGTAAGGCGCTTTGAGGTCGCATTGAGATTAACTTATGCACCAAGACACGAGTACTTTGAGTATACTGAATCTCTGACAATTGCTTACATCGAAACATCCCATGCATTGTGGCAGCAACACCTAACAACTAAAGGTCCACAATGCACATTATTATTTTATGCATATAGGTGTGCGCGAGCCTGGCGGATCTTGTTTCGTCCAAAAAATGCGTTAGTTTGACTTCGAACTAGTCCGAACAATCAACCAGGCCCGTATGAATCAGGAAACGCCATTTGGTGAACTTTGGCAGTTATCAGAAAATTCGGTCAACGCGCACATGAACA